GATCGGTTGATTTTGTGTGGACGGTTTGTTACAAAGTCCTGATCGGTTGATTTTGTGTGGACGGTTGGTTACAAACTCCTGATTGGTTGATTTTGTGTGGACGGTTTGTTACAAAGTCCTGATCGGTTGATTTTGTGTGGACGGTTTGTTACAAAGTCCTGATCGGTTAATTTTGTGTGGACGGTTTGTTACAAAGCCCCGATTGGTTGATTTTGTGTGGATGGTTTGTTACAGACTCCTGATTGGTTGATTTTGTGTGGATGTTTTGTTACAGGCTTGTGATGGCTACTGGTACCGAATCCAGCTGCCAAAGTGCAGGGTTTAAATGTGTGAGCTCTTTAGGGGCAGAAAGAGAGAAGCGTTTATACCATACAGAGACACAATTCTGCATCTTCGTGTCACGTATGCTTCCAGCAGAACATCTTTGTCATTTTTTGGTCAAACAAGGAAGTTTCCCACAAATGGAAGCAGTTCACCAGCTGTGACTCTGCAGCTAATATTTAATTCAGCGTATAGAACAGACAGATGACGGCCTCAAGGCCTAAAATCTTACTGTAATCCCCCCCCACCCCCCACCCCTCGGATTTCTGTCCTTGCCTTGGAAGTTACCCCTGACACGTTGTTTTTGTTGAGGCCTGTTTTCCCAGCTGTGTCGAGACGGTGAGAATGCTTCATGCCGCTTGTAGCCATGCTAACCACTGGCAGTAGGATCTGCCACGGATTTGGAATGGGTCCTGACAGCCTCGCCATCTCTCTCTGAAGTCTCTGGTCTCAAAAGTTGTTGCTGTTGCTAGCTGCTGTCCAGTTGGCTGTCGGGTCAGTGACCCCATGAACGATGGAACGGAAGGCTGCCCGGTCCTGTGCCCTCCGAATGCCATGAAAAGCCCATGGTCGCTGTAAAATAAACACAGTTTTCTCTGCTGTTTGGGAACCAGATAATCAGATCCTTCAGTTCAATAACTCTGCGTGCCTCTCTTCCCCAAGCTGGCTTTCAAAAGGGAGCTTAATCCTTGGATGAAGAAGAAAGAGTATGTGGAATTTTTGGTTTTTCCATGCAAGCGTTTTACAATTCACAGCCTTCGTGCCTTTAGCAGTCTGTTGCATCTTCGTAGTAGCTGCAGACCACAGTGAATTTTTGTCTAATTTATTGTGACTTGGTCGAAAAGTGGTGGAGGGTCCATAAAGAAGCCAGTCTTGGTTTGCTTGGCCCCTAGCACTTGGTTTAGGACTGGCTGCTTCCTAGGACTGCTTGTAATGCATCCACGGCGGTGGTGTCTGTGATTCCCTTTAGAGGTTGCTTCTGCAGATGGGAAGGTAAAGAAACCTTTTCTGGAGAAGCCACAATTGTTCCATTCAGGGATTGATACTGTTATGTATTCTGATTCCCACTACCTTCCACCCTGCTGGGTTTTTGTAAATTGAGACAGCAGAGGGCAAGAGTTGTCGTCCATTTATTGCGTGGCCAGGGCTGTGAGAAGACCAGCTTCTTCCTGATCAAGCCACCTGTTCCTTTGAGCCCACAGGATCATCTGCACATGATTATTGTTCATTATGGTCTGATCTGGGTCTTACTCGGCCACACAGTAAAAGACTCTGCATCCACTGACAGATAAGGGTCCCCAAACTCAGGGACACCATACATTGTGTCTTGAATTCTCTGAGATGGTACATTTCCTCTAAAAGTTTTGTCCTGTTATCAATCTGTGAACTTGTATCACTGGTCTTGGAAATACAGTCACTGTAGCTACAGAGCATCTCACGCTAACATTGCCCACATGAGGGGTTAAAGGAAATGACAAAGTTGCCAAGTTTGTCTCTTCCCATTTGAATTTGGGGCATGTTTTCGCAGCAATGACTTACTGAAACATTTTTCTTGAATACTTGAAGAGGCAGAACATTGTTCTAAAACAGTGTTTCTCAAACTTTAGGGTACATTAGAATTATCTGGGTAACTTTTAACTGTTAAGACTATGAGTCCATGGGAAGGGGCTACGTTTGCATTTTAAGGAAGGGCTATTTAAATAAGGGCCACCCACACCCCCTTAGTGGTTCTGACGTAAGAAGTTTTCAGACCACTTTTGGGGATAGGTATTAATTTTCAACCACCGAGTGTTTTGTCATATGCCCAGTAGTGAACCTGGGCTTGCAACATGCCCAGATAGAAAATCTACCCCTTGCTTTGATAGATCCTACTACCTTGAAATAGAAGCAAGCATACAAGAAATGTTTAAAAAATTAATTTAGCAAGACTATTCTTTGAGGCAGGGTGTGTGTGTGTGTGTGTGTGTGTGTGTGTGTGTGTGTGTTGGGGGGATGGGGTGTTGGCCAGAGCAGTGAGTCTGTGGGGTCCCCAGCGCACAGTAGAGCCAGGCGGAAGCCCAGCCTGAGCAAAGCGTGAAGCAGAAATTCACAAACCATATGGAGGTTGAATGGAGCCGACACTGGCTTGTCTGCTGACCTGGAACCCTGGGATTGGGATCCGAGAGGAGAAAGAGGCTGGTGGATGCACAGGGCTGGGGTTGAGTTGGATCCTGCAGATTCTATAGTAATTTATTGTTTTTTAAGAATTTACATGTTTGAGTTATGTGTTCCTGGGAGTTTTCTCCCATACAACAGATCCACGGTAACAAGTCCTTCTCCTTACCCCGTGTGTTCCCCTTTCCCCCAAAACCAAAAGACCAAAACCCATTGCCGTTGAGTCAGTTCCAACTCCTAGTGACCCTACAGGCCAGGGTAGGATCGCCCCATAGGATTTCCAAGGCTGTAATCTTTACAGAAGCAGACTGCCACATCTTTCTCCCTTGGAGTGGCTGGTATATTAAAACTACCAACATTTTGGTTAGCAGCCGAGCACTTAACCACTGTGCCACCAGCACTCCTCTTTCCCCCAACACCACTAAATAAACCACCAACAGAAATCCCAGGGGTTGGCCCTGCCTGTGGAGTGTGGCCAGCCGTGGCTGTGGTGGGACAGCCTCTGCTAACTGCACCTCTGGTTACCTTCCTTTTGCCACCTTCTTTCCCCTAACCACTTTTGTTGACCTTGGTTCCCTGTGGCAACTAACTTCAGCAGCCTGGCAGTGTTGGCTGCTTCTCAAAGCACAGCCAGGCCTTCAGAGCAGAGGCCAGAAGACCTCCACTGGAGGTTTCCTGACCCTAGGTCCCGTGGATGGTGGAGCAGAGCTGTTTCTGTGCAAACAAGGGTTGTCTCGGGTCACTGGGGGATGTTTTCAAGACGCCTGAGTTACCACAGGTGGCAGCAAAAGGGTTAAGCGCTGTATGAATATGAGTCATTGTTTTTATGCAGCCTCTTCAGAGAGACAGGATCAGGTAGACTCTGTGCAGTAACTGTACTAACCCACATTCAGCCCTCAACCCCCTGATAACGTTTTCTAGATGATCCAGTCTGTGGGTTACACTCCCCTGCTCTGAGCTGCATCCCTTCTTGATATCCTCATACCAATGGCCCTAACACTTAGCTGTTCTTAAGAAGCCGCCTTCCTAAGCTATTTTAAGATTTTGTTTTTGAATTGCATAGTGTTTACATGACAGACTTCTGTCTGTGTAGCTTTGGGAGATGAGATATTCAAGGGAGATCAGGGACGACACCTCACCCGAGGTGGTTAAGTTGTGGGGTGAGTACTGGTGTCTCTGGTGCTGGTTCACCAAGTCACCATCCCTGTGCACTGTTTCCGACTAGTGTTTCTTCCCGTTAATACCATCTTCTGTTCATCAAGCTCATCCGCGTTTGCAGCTTCCCACGTTCCTTTGCCTCTGCAGCTGAGTCCAGCCCACGGGTTCTGTTGATTACAGCTCCCTCCCCACAAGTGGACTCTCGGCCTGTGGGACATTATTCTCCTCCCTTATAGATTCATTTTTGGCCATTTTAAGAACCATTTGCCCAGCAGGGTAAATTCTAGAATATGAGTGCAGTGCTGCATATCATAGGGGATAGATTGCCAGGTAGAGCTAAACCTGTTCCTGTTGCGTGGACTCTGGTGACCCCGTGTGTGTCAGAGTAGAACTGTGCTCTGTAGGGTTTTCAGTGGCTGATTTTTTGGAAGTAGATGGCCAGGCCTTTTTCCAAGGCATCTATGGATAGACTTGAACCTTCAACCTTTTGGTTAGCAGCCAAGAACATTAATCATTTGCACTACCCGGGGACCCTTACCTTAGTTTTTGAGCACAAACATTCAGATTTTCAGCCACTCTCCTGAACTGCCACCACCAGCAGCCCTGGCCCTTGTCTGTATGTCTGCAATCAGCCTTTGTCTTCCCCTCCATTTCTGTGTATGTTTCAGCTAAGCCAACTTTCCATTCCCGTCCGTGAATTTCAGAGCCAACAACGTCCTTGTGTCTCTGGGATGGCCCAATTTTGATCCTTTCCCCTGTCACTGATGTAGCAGTTTTTGTTGCTTTGTGGTGTGGTGTGACATTCCCTCTGCCACCTGTCCCGGGGCTGACCTGGTAGATAGGTGAAAGCACTGTCCTTTCCCTGCCACCTGCAGAGAAATCTGAGTCGGGCCACTCAGGAGCAGAAGCAGTTGTCTGAGAAGCTAAAAGATGAGACTGAGCAGAAGGAGCAATTAAGGAGGCTGAAGAACGAAATGGAGAACGAGCGGTGGCACCTCGACAAGACCATCGAGAAACTCCAGAAGGAGGTGAGGGAGGGCAACGAGGGAGAGGGTGCAGGCTATAACCCTTTGTTGGGACCTAGCCCCCTCTGAGGGTCTGATGAGAGCTTAGAAGTGTGCAGTTATGTCAATGCGATACTAGGTACGTGTCAGGGATTTGCAGATCACCTGAAACAGCTCTCAGGACTTGTTGAGAATCCTAGGTCCAGAGAGCTTGGCCGGAAGAAGTGGATGCTAATGCCCTCTGGATTCTGGGCCCAGCTCCTTTAAAAAATCACTTGAAGCCATATGGCCTGTAAGTGCAGACTTAACACGTTTCTCAAATCAGAATCTAAGTATTGGTTGCTTGGTTAGGAGTCAGCACCTGTCTTTCTTGCCCAGGAAGGTAAAGGACAGTCTCAAAGCTCAGTAGCTGCTGCCCCTCTGCTCGTGTCTACCCTCAAATACCTACAAGGGGAAAGGCACGAGGTCGATGGGCTCCTTGCCTCCTAGAAGCTGACAATGGTGGCTGCCATTTTTAGACACCTGTGCTGTGTGCCAGTCATTTTACTAGCTATGCTGCATCTAACTAGAATTCTGTCTATACCTCTGGATTGTTTTAATTCTGACAACAACCGTACAAGGTAGGTGTGATGATTTCAGTCTTTCCAACGAGGATGTCACTGAGGCGCAGAGAGATTAAGTACATGCCCCAGTCACATGGCTGGTAGGCAGAAAAGCAAGGATGCAAACCCAGGACCGCGTGCTCGTTCACCCCCGATGCTGCTCCCAAGTCAGACGTGATCACACGTAGGCACCCCCCGCCCAGAGGCCTTGTAAAGTCTTATCAAAGGCCGTAGAAGATGGGAAGAGGAGGAGATGTATTCTGTGTTTACGTGGCCCCCAAACCTAGCTCCCTGCCCCAGATGGAGCTTGTTACGGTAGGCTCACACCTGTACCACTTCTTCCAGATGGCTGACATTGTCGAGGCATCCCGCACATCAACACTGCAGCTCCAGAACCAGCTGGATGAGTACAAGGAGAAAAATCGCAGGGAGCTTGCAGAAGTGCAGAGGCAGCTGAAGGAGAAAACCCTAGAGGCAGAGAAGTCCCGTCTGACAGCCATGAAAGTTCAGGATGAGGTAATGCCTGGCCGGATAAGTACCTGTGTCTACTGCTTATTCCAAGTATCCTTTGAGATTGCTTTGAAACTTTTCTTTGAGAGACTTGGGGGTAGCTTCCAAGATAGCTTTTGTGCTTAATTCTTCCCTCTTCACACTTGGGATGGTTCTGTGGGGAAGAAGGTGTTCTAAGCCCCAGAGGACCAGTGAACACAGAGGTGAAGTTGACACAACATTAAATTGACCATTTTCTTGATTAGTCCAGAATTTCCTGCTTAAAATGTTTAGCTACCGTTTATAGAGCACCAGCTGTGTGCCTAGCTGTGTCTAAAAGATTTATAGGCATTAATGCTTTAATTTAATTTTAGAACAGGAATTGTAGTAACCAACTGTTTTTTGCCATTCGTTTTTGATAAGAGAGACTTTTATCGGCTTGGGGAGTGGTGGCCAAGAATGTCATAACAATAATGGAGACAAAAATAACTCATCAAGAGTTTATGAGTACAAAGCAAAGACACAAGGGAAAGATTAGTCCAGAGGACTAAGGGACCACAACTACCGCAGCCTCCACCAGACTGAGTCCAGCACAACTAGATGCTGCCCGGCTACCACCACTGACGGCTCTGACCGGGATCACAACAGAGGGTCCTGGACAGAGCTGGAGGAAAATGTAGAAAAAATTCTAACAAAAAAAAGACCTGACTTACTGGCCTGACAGAGACTGGAGAAACCCCGAGAGTATGGCCCCCAGACGTTCTTTTAGCTCAGTAATGAAGTCACTCCTGAGGTTCACCACCCAGCCAAAGATCAGACAGCCCCATAAAACAAAATGAGACTAATGGGGCACAACAGTCCAGGGGCAAGGACTAGAAGGCAGGAGGGCACAGGAAAGCTGGTGATAGGGAACCCAAGGTCGAGAAGGGAGAGCGTTGACATGTCATGGGGTTGTTAACCAATGTCATAAAACAATATGTGTACTAACTGTTTAATGAGAAGCTAGTTTGTTCTGTAAATCTTCATCTAAAGTACAATTAAAAAAAAAAAAGAATTTACAAGTACTAAAATTATGTAAGCGTATTCTTGGTTTTATATTTAAGAATAATAGAGCAAAGTAACCCCAATGCTTAAAAAAAAAACAAACAAACTCAGTTGCCATCGAGTCACCTCAGACTCTTGGTGAACCCATGTGTGTCTGAGTAGAACTGCGCTCCATAAGGTTTTCAATGGCTGATTTTTTGGAGTAGATCGCCAGGCCTTCCTTCCAAGATGCCTATGGGTGGACTCGAACCTCTAAGCTTTTGGTTAGTATCTGAGCATGTAAACTGTTTGTACCACCCAGGGACAACCCAAATGTTGGAACCCTTAAGTCTTGACCCCTTGAGAAACTGAGAAAAATGAAGGGAACTTTTTGATGGTTTTAATGAAAAACTGAAGGCTCTAAAATGCAGATACTGTGTACATTGATTTCCAGCTGTGCCTCTTACTAGCCAGGTGACCTTGAGCATGTTACTCCAGTTTTGTGAGCATCCATTTCCACTTCTTTAAAAATATACAAATTGTGAATGATTTAACAAATGAGATAACATGTGAGACTCTTTAGCAGAGGGTCTGCACATCTTGGGCACTTAATGTTAGCTTCCCGTCCTCACTTCTAAGGCGTTTATCTCTGTATAAATATTTTCATGCAAACAGCACCAAGACCACTAAGATTCCACAGGAAAACAACTTTTTCTTTACCAAACAAACTTTTTATGTCTTTTATGATCAAAGAGAAGTCACCCATGAGTCTGTGCTAAAACTGTCTGAAAGAACAATGGATATTTATTGCAGACTTTTGGAACGCTTCTGAAAGGACCTTGATAGCAGATCCCCGCTGACTGGAGGTCACAGGTCACAGGGTACAGGATTCAAAGTAGCAACTGGAATTAGCACACTCACATCACAGTTACCCTTAGCATTTAAAAAAAAAAAAAATCTTTTTTATTTCTATAGCAAAGGTGTGGAGGAATTCATATATTTGCCAGAACACCAGTAAGCACTTGGTCTTCTGTTTTGATTTAAAAAAAAATACAGTGTCACAGTGAACCCTGCAAAGTACTTCCCATTGCCTTTCGTATAACGCTATTATCGTAGAATCTCCCGGTTGGAAGGAACCGTAGAGAAGGTCCAGTTAGATGAGTAAACTGAGGCTCCGAGAGGTTGTTTAAGGCCCGACGGAGCACACTGTTGCTTATCAAAGAGCAGTAATTCAGAAAAGGATCCTCTGCAGTGCTAGCAAAGTTGGCTGTTCCCCAGTTTTCTCAGTGGCATAACCTGTGAGAGACCCTTCTCTGAACAGCGGAAATGAACACGTCATCACTGAAGGGAAGCTAGTCGGATACCACCCTTGACCAGGCTGCTCAGGTCATGGGGTTGTTTATAGCAGCAGTGAATTAACAAGCCAAGGTCATTCTGGATCTTTGAAAAATTTAAACTCAACTCTGTTCACCACCCGTGTTTTGGTGGAGCTGAGTCAAAGATCTTAGTGAAAAAAAAAAAAAAACAACTATAAGGGGTCCATCCTAAGTCCTCTAAGTAGTGTTTTGATTTGAAAGAAATAGACATTTTAAAGTTTTCCTGCTGGTCTTCCTAAACTGATCTAACCTATTGGGTCTCCAAAGTAAAACTATCTCTGAGGCGTCCAACTTTTCTGTGAAAATCACTCCATAAGGGTGATGTCTAAATGGAAACTCACATATACTCCCTGAAGGGAGTAATCCCCGCTATTCCTAAAACCGTACTTTCATCCGTTACGTTTGACCATCTCCGGGAGGGTAGGAAGACGGCCTTGGGCGTCACTGTTTGAGTTCTCACAGATGTTCGGGGAATACCCACCGTGTGCCTGAGGCGGCTGGGCTCCTTGGCAGAATCCGGAGAAGTGGACCAAGCTCTTTTGTCTGAGGCACTTTCTTCAAAGCTGTTAGTTCAGTGCCACCTTGTGGATGAAAACAACATTTTCGATTGTGACAGCGGTAACATTATTTTCTTCTACAGAGCAGTGGTTTTCACCTAATGTACATAGATTATTTGTTTTTGTGCCTGCGGGTTGCTTTCGGGCTCATTAATTTAGTTTTTCTTTTCCCTAAATATCGAACCTCTCTGTAGGTGATGCTGGGACGGGGGGCAATAAATTACACTCTGGGAAGCCCTTATCTGGTTCATTGGCTTTCAAGAGTTTAACCATCGACCATAGTAAGAAGCACATATTGCGCTGTGACTCAGGAATATGTAAATCCATACAAATATGTACAAAAGTTTCACAAAGCAATATTGGCTTATATTCTTGTTTTTTTTTTTTCTGTTCTATTTAATTAAAACAATTCTGGTCAACAGCTATTAAACAGAATTTACAACCCAATGGGTTGTGACTTGCAGTTGGACAACACTGATCTAGTCTAACCCCTTCTTTCTACAGAAGAGGAAACTGAGGCCCAGTGGGAGGTGGGACTTGCTCGGGGTCTTCTGATCTCCAGTATGGGCAGGGGACCGGCCACTTGATCTTCTCTTCAGGGTCAGCCTGTGCCCTGTCTGTTGGGATCTTACCTCAGAAAACCACTCCAACTCCTCATTCCAGATGTGTCTGATGGAGGAAGAGTTACGGGACTACCAGAGGTCTCAGGATGAAGCTCTTACGAAAAGGCAGCTTCTGGAGCAGACACTGAAGGACCTGGAGTATGAGCTAGAGGCCAAGAGTCACCTCAAAGATGACCGCAGCAGACTCGTCAAACAGATGGAGGTTTGTGGGCCCAATAAGCGAGAACAGGGGGGTCTTCGGAGAACGAGTCAGGGACGTGAGCGGGCAGCCTCTCCGCTTGTACTTCTGCCTTTGGGAAGTCTTCAGTTTTTATTCTCTTGAACAACCAGGTGTTAGTATTATCATTTCTTGATTTGGGGAAGAAACCGGTAGATCACAGACTCATTGGACATCAGAGCCAGAAGGAGTGGTGGAAATAATTTAGTCCCATGTCTTCATTTGCTTGAGGAGGAAGCAGAACTGAGTCCCAGAGAGGTTTGGTGACTTTACGTGAGGGCACATGGATAACTCATGTTCTGTTTGTTGCTTTGGGGGTGCTTCCAGCAACAAAGGGAACAAATCTGCAGCATATCTGTTGTTGTCATTGCTGACTGCCATCAAGTCAGCCCTTTCTCGTGGCGACCCATGCACAGCGGAACAAAACCCTGCCCGGTCCTGCATCGTCCCCATCACTGACTGTTCATTGGACCATTGTGATCCCTAGGGTTTTCATTGGCTGATTTTCAGAAGTAGATTGCCAGGCCTTTCTTCCTAGGCTGTCTTAGTCTAGAAGCTTCACTGAAACCTGTTCAGCATCCTAGCAATGCATAAGCCTCCACTGACAGACAGGTGGTGTCTGTGCATGAGGTGTACTGGCCGGGAGCCAAACCTGGGTGTCCACATGGAAGGTGGGCATCCTCCCGCTGAACCACCACCGCCCCACTGCAGAGCTAGAGGCGGCAAAGCCATGCCTTGGGCCCGAACTGCCTGACTCCTGAGACAGTCAGTGCTCACCTGCCATGCCACGTACGCCAGTCTGTCTTCCTGTTTCTGGCCCCTTTTTTCCTCAGAGATTATGTCTCTTTGGCAAAGCTAGTGGCAAACTATGGCTCAGTTTAGTTTGTATGCAGAGTACAATGCTCAGTGCAGTCACTGGGCGGGAGTGATCTGTTGACAAGATGGAAACACAACACAGTAGGAAAATGTTTATGAAGTAATGGAATCTAAGTATCAACAGTCCGCTGATATGGCAGGAAGAACCTTAGAATCAGTCCACCTGAGCTTTTAAAAAAGAAGAATCCTCAAGAAGTAAACCATCACAACACCAGAAACACCTGTGTACACACACACACACACACACACACACACACACACACACGCGTGCGCACACTCCCCCACATGCATACATACCACACACACACATACACCACATATGTGCACACACACACCTACATACACACACACACAATTTTGAGAGAGAGACCTGAAAAATAACTCTTCCACCTACCAGAGAAGTGAAAATTGTCAAGGTTTTGATGAAAGATGGTGCTCAAGGCCAAGGAGAGATGGCTTGAATGTGAAGTCGGTGAATTCCTGATTCAGCTTTGCAAATAAACAGCAATGACTTTTTTAAACCTCTAGGGCACTTAGTTGCAGTTTATATCTAGGGAGTGATGTTTCAACCATTAAAGATTTTATTAGATGGACCCCTTTTAGAGGCTAGAATAACCTGGTTACAGTTTTCTTATTCCTTTGTAGGATTGCTACGCATTTTGCAATCTCATCTGATCTCTTTGGGAGAGGTAATATTAGGGCACGCCAAGGTCAACCCAGTTAAGTAGAAACCGATTATTCTAGGGCCCAGACACCCTGGTAAAAGCAGGCTACAGCCTCTTCAGGCAGTGGAGTTAAGAACCCCTGGTGTAAACCCCTGTCCTGATCATGCCTGAACACTCCTGCTGTATTCTGTATGGTACGGAACGAGCCCTGGGAGGAGGTGCTGCTAGCTCAAGACTGGGTTGCCAGGCTATCACCTTCTGGAACACTCTGAATGAAAAGAGCATTTCCTTTTGCTGACTTAAGATCTAATCACAGTGGCATGGTTAAGCTTCATTTGCTCCTGTACAATATTTTAGGCATTTCTCCATTAATGACAAAAATGAGTAGATCTCCAGGCCCCACCCCTGTGAAGCACACTTGAGAGGTGTTTCTTCCCCTAAGCGGAGTGGGCAGGACTGCTGTGCTGTGGCTGTGTCTTGCCTGTTCCTTCATTAGCACGTAACAGACTAATTTCTGATGGGTACTCTCTGTAAGCTCAAAAACTCAGGTGGCTGTTGTATGTAAATGTGACATTTGTGGAGCCTTGGTGACGTTTGACTGTGGTGAAGCCAGCCTTGGATGGATCAGGACCACTGAACAAACAGGAGGCTTGGTGCAGGACCAGCCCTATTCTCACTTGATCTTTGGGACGCTTGGCTCCTGGGAGGGAGCTTTCCAGCTTCCCCGTAGTTTTCTAGCTCTGGTGGGGAAGACTGTTCTCAGACACTTAGTCATTCACATGAGCTCTGTGAGTTTTATTTTTGGTGCTTACAGAGATCCTTAGCTTGTCAGTCATGTTTGGCCATCGCAGGGACGATATTCCAATACAAGTGCTACAGAATCACGTTTAAAAACGCACAATGCAGGTTGCTTTCTAGAGCTTGTGGCTCTGAGTTCACCCAGACCCGGGACAAGTAGCCTGGTGACTGCAGAGGAGGTACGTGCACCGACCCCACAACCTAGCAGTTCTGGGTGGGGTTGTTTGTGGCAGAACCTCTTTCTTCATGCACAAAGCTGCTTTGAAACGTGTACTCCGTCACACTCAATGATGTTAAGTTAGGAGCCAGCAAGGAAGATGCAAATTATAATTTCTCCCACGATGACTGGCTTAGCTATGGTAAAGGGGCCCTGGTGGCACAATGGTCAAACGCTCGGCTGCTCACCGAAGGTTTGTGGTTCAAACCCATCAGCCACTCCACGGGAGAAAAGACCTGGCGATCTCCTTCTGTAAGGATTACCACCTAGGAAACCCTTTGGGGCAGTTCCAGTCTGTCCTGTGGGGTCGCTATGAGTCGGAATTGACTCATGGCATATAACAGCATTGGTATATTAACATAGTGCAGGTTTGGGGCTGTGCAGTGTGGGGTGGACGGGGTTCCCCGGAGGAAAGAGGCAGGTGCAAATGACTGTTAGAGACTTCATGGCCACGAGATTCTTGGAGACCCTGAGCCGGAGGGAGGTGAGACGTTTTCCGGAGTGTGGAGCGTTTAGAGAAGTGTGCCTTGGATGATGTCTCCGCCCCCACGTGGTCTTGTAACAGGTAGCTGGCTTAGGTAATCTGTTTACAGTTGTAGATTCATAGTGGGGAGAAAGACTTGAAGGAAATACGCGAAAATATCTTCAGTGTTTATGTTAGCGTTTGGGGTAATATTTTTTCACCTATTATGTATTTTCTAAATTTTCTGTAATATGTGCTGTTATATTTTATAGTATCTAAAAAGCGGTAAAGTATATAGTTTTTAAAATACCCGCCTTGGGTAGTATAAGAAATAGACACATCCTCTTCCTAGGCCCTAATAACACGAAGCTCCCTTTTGCTCTTGGAGTTTTCTTTGCATAGGTCAGTCCTTCCTCTTAATCTGGGTCATGCGGGTTTCACGGGCTGTGTTTGTGACTGGGTCATGCGGGTTTCACGGGCTGTGTTTGTGACTGGGTCATGCGGGTTTCACGGGCT